ATATATATATATATTATTATATATTATATAATATAATATTATATTATATTATTATTATAATATTATTATTATATATAGGGGATTAATTTGGAGACCCCCACTCATTTCGAAATTATATAGGACTAACTATCATGCGGATTTTACACTAGTGCAGAACCCCTTCATTTTGATAATAATTTCATATACCCCCCTCGGGCATCCTGAAGTACCTAGAATGCTCTTTTGAAATCTGTTTTAAACCCTAGCCACTCATCATCGTCTCTCTTCCTCTCTCAAATCTCAGATTCAAATCTCGCCCACATGGATCTTTAACCGGCGAAGTTGCTTCTCGAAGTCATAACTCTCTCTCTCCGTTGGTCGGAATTCGATGGTTTAACTACCGTTGGATTGCCCTCGTCGAGGTCTTTATTTTGGTTGTGATTTCATTCAGTTTTGAGCACTCGATCTGTTTCTGCAATTGTCTTGTAGTCCGTGCGTATTTCGACGACGGTGGGTCTTGCTGGAGGTGTAATTTGTGTTTCGGCAGTCGGAATCTGATGGGCTACCTATCGTTGGATTCCTCTCGTCGAGATCTATATTTTGATGGTAATTTCGGTCATTTTTTTGCTGTCGGATTTATTTCTACAATTTTTTTCATTTGTGAGCGCGGAACCTTGGGTGGTTAGTGACGGCTAGGGTTTTGGTAGGAGGCGTTTGGGGTGAGGAGTCATTGGCGGGTTGGTCTAAAATTCGTAGCATTTCGCAGTTATTGCCTCTCTCTATCTATCTCTCGATCTCTTAGTGATTGTTGATTTGAATGTTTTGATTTTTTTCAATTTTTGTTGATTTGCATTAAAATATTTTTTTTTTGTTTTGATTTTGCTATTGTAGCTTAATGAAAGTCATTATCCTCTGCTTGAAGGTGTGAAAAAATTTGGTTGAAGTTACATCTGCTTCAAGTTATAGTGTTCTACAAACTGTATACATTACTGTGCATTACTATACATTACTAGTAACATGTAGTTATATATGCATATATTTGTGTATTTTCGATTTGAGAGGTGATTTATAATATAAATGTTGAAATTTGTAAATTTTTGTTGTTGGGGTATATAAATTTCTTTTGTATAAGCCAGTATTCGTGTGTGTAAATAATTGATAGATTAAAAACATGGAGTTAAACAAAAAAGTACATAACAATGAATGGCTATAGTTTACTACAGTTACATGTAGTTACATATGTATATATTTTTGTATTTTCGATTGGTATTTTATTGGTTATGAGGTGATTTTTAATATAAATACTGATTTTTTTTTTAATTTTTTGTTGTTGGGGTTTATGAATTTCTTTTGTATAAGCCAGTATTTGTGTGTGTACATATTAATCGACTGAAAATATGGGATTAAAAAAAGAACATAACTATGAATGACTATAGTTTACTACAGTTACATGTAGTTATTTTCAGTACATTAAACATCTTGATTTAAAAAAAATTAAATAAAAATTAATTAAAATAAAAAACTTAATAAAAAATTTAAATGGAAACTATATAAATTAAACAAATAGGTTTATAAAAAAAATAAAAAAAATGTAATAATAATAAATAAATCAACAAAAATGATAAATGCAGGAGCAGAAATGCTAAATATAGTTTTACAATAAAAATATAAAAATAGTATAGTACTTTCGCCTCTCCAGTGAGTTTGTCAAAAGATCCCTATTATTATTTCGGTCGACTTAAAAAGTCCATTAATCTTTATCAACATTGAGCATCCAAAAACTCCAATATACAATTTTATTAATTAAACTAATGAGACAAATCCATTATTTTATCTGCCACAAGCCCATTAAAACTAATTATATACGATTTATTTTATATTTCGATATAAAACAACGTATATTTTAGAAATATAGAGGGAGCCATGGCCTTCCGGACCATACGCCGGCTCATTGAGTCCACTTGTATCGAATTATAGCTGCTAATTCTATAGGTCTCGTTTACTTACCTATATCGGATTACATTGGATTATGTGAGATTTGATTGATATTCCACTGATTGATTAATTATTTAGTAAAGTAAGATGTTTGATTCGTTAGATTAAATCTTGCATTAAATTTGTTAAATTATGGTATTAAATGTGAATCGTCTAAAAATCTTTTAATTAACAAAATTAAATTTTGTTTTAAGGACAAAATTGTAGTTTACTCTTTTAGTCACCCCTTCAAAAATAATCGCGGGGTGCTACTAATTTAAACAAATAATAGCATTTAACTGTGGGCTTTAAGTGTAGTTGTGGGCTTTAAGTGTAGTTATCGGCTTGACTAAATACAAATCTAATCAACTAAGGCCTCGTTTGCTTGCTACTATTAGATTGGATTAACTAAATAATAGGAGTTAGTAAGATGTTTGATTGGTAGAATTCAACATTACTCAAGCCCGCTATTAAAGTTGAAGCCCGCAATTAAGTGCTATTACGCCATGAAATTAGTAACACCCTTCCCGCCCGCATGGGTGTAGCTCAACTGGTTCCGAAGGTGGTAAGTTGGTGCAAGGTCCTAGGATCGAATCCTGGCAGCCGCAGTGTGGGAATTTCAACTCCAAATGAGGGTTGGTTCCTTGTGGGCACCAGGTCCGGGTCCGCTGCCTTAACGGGCCGTTCAGTTACCATGATTTACATCCTCCATTAATCCTTGTCGGGCCAAGGGATGGGGGCCCTGGGGGCGAGGGATTCGCCTTTTGGTGCAAGTAACACCCTTCCCCCTGCAATTAATTTAGTAGGAGGTGACTAAAATGGGAAATTACAAACCTATCCATCAAATAGTGATTTAATTTTATTAAATAAGACTTTATAGACAATTTACATATAATAACAGAATTTAATATAACATGTCATCTAAAGAACCAAATATATTATTAACTAATTAATTAGTTAACCTGTAGGGAATTAATCCAATCTAATCTAATCCGATCTAATCTAATATATGTAAGCAAACGAGGCCTAAACATATTACTAACCCCTACTATTTAGTTAATAGAGAAATATCAATAGACCTCGTTTGCTTACTTATATCGGATTACATTGAATTAGGTGAGTTGAATTAATATCCCATTGACCAATTAATTATTTAATCAGTAAGATATTTGATTCGTTAGATTAAATCTTGCATTAAATTTGTTAAATTATGGTATTAAGTGTGAATTCTCTAAAAAGTCTTTTAATTAACAAAATTAAGATAATGTTTTAAAGACAAAATTATATTTTCCTCTTTTAATCACCCCTACAAAATTAATAGCAGTGGGGAGGGTGCTATTAATTTAACCAAATAATAGTATTTAACTGCGGGATGCAAATGTAGCAACGAGCCTGACTAAATACGAACCAAATATCTTACTGACCCCTACTAATAGAGCTTAATTACACTAAGCAAACGAGGCTCTAAACACAAATTTAATAGATTTCAAGAGAGTTCAGCTATATTGAATTTCAATTAAACCCGACATAAATCGGATTGATGTGGATCATACCAGATGAAGAGATACAATCCACGTCATCACCCCCTAATTTATGGTATAACTAGAATTTGTAATTTATCGACCCAAGCTTATCCTAAAAGCAAAGAGTTATAAAAAAAATTCTCTTTCTATCCATCTTTCTTTCTTTAGAGGAAAAGTCAATTTTAATTTGGCTTTTCAAAAGCATAAGAAAGAATCAATAGATTTATTCACTGCTGCGTTTCTTGCGGATTCATTTTCACTCTTATATATTTACTTTCACACATTTTAATTAATTAATTAGTTGTATTTTTATATACACACATTCAATTGATTTATATAAAGCGTTTGAATATGAATATTATTTCTTCATAATTAATCAAAATGGTCTTCTAGAATATTTATAAAGAAATCCAACTAATTATTTTACTTCACAAAAGTGCATGAAAGTTATGCATCTGGAATTTTTTTCTAATATTTAATAACAAAGATAATAAAGCTGCACACACAGAAACTCACAGTAGCATATGGGTCTTTGCGTAGGCTTTAGGCAGTACACCTAATTAGGAACCCCAGCGAATTTACCTTTCTACCCTCTCAAATCCCCAAAATTAAACAGTGGCGGCTATTATTTACTATATTTTGTCCGTAAAACTCCAAAACACAACAATCGCAAAACCCACGCGCCGCACGGCCGCGTGGGCTCCACTCTATCTACAAGTAACCGTTACCAACTAACGGCAGGGCACAATCTGTCACTGTAATAAGAACTAACACACACGATCCAGTAAAAGCGCGTGGTTCCCAAATTTCTCACCTCCATTACAAAGCACAAATAGCTACTATATCTAATTGCTGATGATATATACTTTTTGGAGAGAGAAAGTGAAGAGAGAGAGAGAGATAGGAATTAGGAAGGAAGAAAGTGGGAAGAGTTCCCTCAGTTTCTCTCTCTCTCTCTCTCTCTCTCTGCAACTTTTATATACATTTTTTTTATCTTTTCATTTTTCTTTTCTTCTCACATTTCCAGCTAAGTAGTGTAAAGCCGTAAAGGTCTGGCCTTCTCTCTCTCCTCTCTCTCTCTCTTCTTTCTCTCTCTAGAAGTTTAATTGAAATTACTGCTACTTCAAAATTCATTAATGCCCACCACCACATGCAGTAATTTTCTTACTTGATTTAATGAATTTTGAAGCTTAACTAGCTGTGAGGATTAATGAATGCTATTTCCCTTGTTGGGATGCAATCATTTTCTCATTATTCCCCTCCTTGTTTCCTAATTATTTAACCGGTAATTTTATTTATTTATTTATTTCCTTTTTTTTTTTTTTAAATTGAGAGCTGTTAAAAATCCTTTTTGTTCTAGTATGTATTTCTGGGAAGTTGCTGTGCAATTATCGTGTGTGATTAGGAATCTACAATAATTTTTTGAGAATAAATAATTGGTAAATCAGAGATCAATCTGAGTGTGGGCTTATATTTTTTTTTCCTCTCTCTACCTTTTGCAGATTGGAAGGGGGTTTTATGTATGTATGTATGTATAGGGTATGCATTGTGTTTTTCAAGGTAAAAAAAAAAAAGTAGATTGAAGAATTGGAGCAATGGTTGGGAACAGATCTGCACTGAATTTCTTACATTTGGAGATCCTTTTGGGGTTTGCCTTCATTTTTGCTGTCAGAATTTCACATTGTTACACCAGTTTTAGTGATGGTGAGCCCAAATTATATTTATTTATTCATTTTTTTTTGTTTTATTAATATTATTATTTTTTTCTTACAAATGTCAGACTGTAAGAGAATGAATGACAAGCATATAACCCAATTTCTTGTTTTGCATTTTTATTACCAAGCAATGCTGCTGTAAATTGCAGTTTTTTTTCGCGAGGTTGTTTACGTTTTTTCAATTAATTTAGTTCACCATCATTTCATCTTCTGCTTAAGAGCTTTTATTTGTTCGTAATGTGTAATAATACTTGCTACGTTCAAGTTCTCGTTTTATAATGTGAATATCTATTAATTCATTTACTGGACTAGTTGCTGCTATAAATCGGTTATACGCTGATTTGGGATCTCCGTCTCTACCTGGATGGATTGCCAGTGGTGGTGACCCTTGTGGTGAACTTTGGCAAGGTGTTGTCTGTGTGGATTCTTCCATAACCTCGATGTACGAACCCTTGTCTTTTTTTTTTCTTTTTTAAATTTCAAAAAAATGAACTATGATGATGTGTCGCCTATAGCTAAACGATCGTGTTATCCTATTTATAGAACGCTGATTGGGGCTAATTTGGGAGGAGAGTTAGGCAACAGTCTTAGAGAATTCACTTCTATTACATCGATGTGAGTACACGCATAAACCTTATTCCAATCAAATATGTTTTTTTTTCCTTGTCTATGCCGAGGTGACTGTAACTTTATCTTATGATGACAGAACACTAAGCAACAACCTTATCGGGGGTACAATTCCGACCGAGTTACCAGTTACATTAGTCAACATGTACGTTCAGACAACTTTCTAAACGTGAATTAAACGAACTAGCAGAAACCTTGTACTTGATTCTCATGTGATAGTGTTTCTTTACCTTTGGCAGTTTTCTTTCAGATAACAAGCTCACCGGAACTATACCAAGTTCTTTATCGTCACTGACTCAATTATCTGCTATGTAAGTATTTATTTATATTCACCGATTTCCGTATATGAATTTGCTCTCGTTTATGCTATTATTTTTTCGTTAATAATATTTGACTGTTTTACTTCAGGTCCCTTAACAACAATGAATTATCGGGAGAAATCCCCGATGCTTTTGATGGCCTTCCCGTTTTGATTAATTTGTACGAGACTGTTAATTACCGAGACATATTTAATTGATGTAATTAGATTACTATGTTGTTAATGCATTTGCATCTTGTGTGCAGAGATTTATCGAGTAACAATTTGAGTGGGGAGTTGCCACCTTCGATGCAAAACATGTCATCTATTACTACCCTGTAAGAAACTTAATCTATGTTCTTTCGGTTTTATTATCTATTCAATTGAAACTAATATTCTCGTCGACAGCCATTTGCAGAATAATCAGCTATCTGGATCTCTTGATGTTTTGGAAGACCTTCCTCTTCAAGATTTGTACTCTTCTTACGCCATATAATAATATGCTCATATTTTTCGTGTTTTCGTAATTCCATCGCCAAATTTATATAACTCTACTAACTCTCTCTCTCTCTCTCTCTCTCTCTCTCTCTCTCTCTCTCTCTCTCTCTCTCTCTCTCTCTCTCTCTCTCTCTCTCTCTCTCTCTCTCCCTCCCCATCTTACAGAGACGTACAGAACAACTTATTTTCTGGACCAATACCTACCAAGTTGTTGAACATACCCAATTTCAGGTAGCTACGAAATGCTCCAATTTTTCCTCTCGATTTCCAGAAATTCGTTGAATCCCTTTTACGGAAACCTGCGGCAGTATGTATGTATATATATATATATATATATATATATATATATATAAGCATATGGTTGCTAATTTTTGTTGTTTCCGGATAATAATTTCAGGAGTGACGGCAATCTGTTCAATTCTAGTATAGCTCCATTAGGTCCGCCAACATCCTCGTCCACAGGAACACCACCACCAGCACTGCCGTTTTTCCCGGGACCAAATTCAGATCAAAAGCCACCACCGCCACCTGGACGAAGACCACCGAAACAGGCTGATGGACCATCCACAACAGAAGAATCAAACTCCAAATCAAAAAAATCTTCTTCTTCGAGTACGAAAAGAATTGTATGGATATCGGTTGCAGCCGTACTGTCCTTCGTAATATTGCTATTAGCAATCCTACTCTTTATGCCGAGATGTCTCAGAGAAAGAAGAGAACATTACAGAAGAACACCAAAGCGGCACGAAATAGCTCCGTACACCGGCATTCGAGATAATCCGAGAGACGGTGGTCCGTTAATCCTACCGAGCCATGATGTAGAGAAAGGTAAAACCATGTTCGTTACGTTTCTTGAAAATCTACCCTTTCCTCGTAGAACCTTTTTTTCTAAATCGAAAAAAAAAATGCTATTCTTTTTGAGAAAAAACACAGCTCCTCCTGTTGTGAGGAAAAAGGAAGAGAACAAACCGAGAGCAGTGGGTTCGATACCTAAACCACGAGACGAAGAGGATGTAAATAAACAACAGACGAGTGGAGCAGTGCCTAGGAGGAGTCAGTATGAGATAGACATGAGTAGATTCGAGATAGATGTGCTGCCGCCACCGCCGCCGCCGCCACCACCACCTCCACCTCCTCCGCCACCACCGCCACCTCCTCCATCAGATAGGGTTATCGTGAATCCAATCATAGCATCTGAAGCAAGTGCAACCAGACATGTACCCGCAACTTCCGTGAAGGCATATTCAATAGCGTCTCTCCAGCAGTATACAAATAGCTTTTCGCAAGAAAATCTCGTCGGAAGTGGAATGCTTGGGAATGTATACCGGGCAGAGCTATCTGACGGAAGGGTATGAATGCTTAATTTTTTCTTACTGGTCATGCCACATCAGCTTATGTTAATTTTTTCTGACATTTAGTCGTCGATGCTTATGTTGTTGTAGTTGCTTGCAATAAAGAAATTGGATAAAAGAGTGGCGAACCAGTTGAAGGAGGATCAGTTTATCGAACTGGTTAATAGTCTCGATAGCATTCGACATGCTAATGTCGTTGAGCTCATGGGTTATTGCTCAGAGCATGGACAGAGGCTTCTAATTTACGAGTATTGCACTAACGGAACACTGCAAGATGCTCTTCACTCCGACGACGAGTTTAAGAAAAAACTGTCGTGGAATACTCGCATTAGGATGGCTCTTGGAGCTGCTCGAGCTTTAGAGTAAGTCAAACTTCAATGCAGTTGACCGGGTTTTTTTTTTTTTTTTTTTTTAAATTAAACGGATTAATGAATGCTGGGAAATATTGTACTGTCTCGAGTTTCTGACTTTGTGAAAACTTATTTCTTACAAGGTATCTGCATGAGGTTTGTGAACCGCCTATAATTCACAGGAATTTCAAGTCGGCTAATGTTCTACTCGATGAAGAATTATCTGTCCTTGTCTCTGATTGTGGTTTGGCTCCGTTGATTTTGTCAGGAGTTGTCAGTCAGGTAATAATAATTCTTATTGTCTGAAGCAAACTTCTTTTTGGTGCTGAATAATTATGATAATAAAACATGCTAGGTGTGTTTACTTCAACTGCATTTGCTAGCATGTGAAATTAGTCGAGATGTCTTAAATACGCTGCATGATGAACATAGGACCAACGTCCATCTCCAAAAATGATGTCAGAGGAACTGTAAGATAGTACAGCAGGACATATATTTTTTTTCTGTTGGACAACAATATTTTGTTGCGGGTAAATCACAACCACCTCCTGAGTAAAGTTTATTTACGAAAAAACCCCTAGGGGCGGTTGTAATTCACCCTTTCTTCTGCTTCATTTGAAATTTAAAGAAAAAAAAGTTTGCTAACAAAACAAGTTAAAGACCTATCAAAGGCCTACCTGTCGGAGTTTGATTATTATGTCAATAAAATTTAGATAATTTAATAAATTGTTATGTCTTTAAGATGTTATGCTGAGCGACTACATATGTTTATTATTACGCAGCTATCGGGACAGCTACTGACAACGTACGGTTATGGTGCACCTGAGTTTGAGTCGGGGGTATACACAACAAAGAGCGACGTTTACAGTTTCGGAGTGGTGATGTTAGAACTCTTAACAGGAAGAATGTCTTATGACAGGTAATTCAACTAAACTAATTGCTTAATTTCATTAAAATATGTCTGATGATAATGATTGTCTTGATTTTCTTATTATTGGGAGAAATAAATTAATGTGTAATAAATAGGACAAGAAGTAGAGGAGAGCAATTTCTAGTGAGATGGGCAATTCCTCAGCTTCATGACATTGATACCTTGTCGAGGATGGTCGATCCTTCTCTCTCTGGAAACTATCCTGTCAAATCCTTATCCCATTTTGCCGACATTATTTCCCGATGCGTCCTGGTTTGTTTTCTTTTTTTTTTTTCCAAATTTTATTTAATTTGAGAAGCTTCTAAAATAAATGCATTTTCCGATATGCATGCAGGCGGAACCTGAGTTTAGACCACTGATGTCTGAAGTAGTACAGGACCTCATGCAACTGATAAGGAGGGAATCTCCACGTAGGTCAGACGAGGACTAACTTAGAGTTATTACACCTCGCTAGTGCTAAAAAGAATCATGCGATAAAAGCTCAAAAAAAGAAAGCTCCCATAGAAAGTTTTCGTGTATGCGGAGGATTTTGTTTGGCAAAAAAAAGTGCATATATAGTTGATCTGACAGGTATCCTTGATTCTTGTGTCGGTGCTCTTTGTTTGCGCAATTCTAAATTGGTCAAGAGGCAAGCTATATATATACTAACCCGATTATTGAATCGTTGTTATTTATTAGTTTTGTGAAATTGTCTTATTGTATATGTTTTAATTTGTTCCATATCCATAATTCTTTCTTTGAGCCTAATTGCATTCCTTTTAGGCAAAAGATGATTGTTTGCTCCTTCATTACATTTTTTGTACTTCCAATTGGGAATCTTTTATATATTATGTTTATTGCTTTAGTGGTTTTGGTGCTAATTTCTTTTTCGACATCTTAGCCCGTTCTAGAACCAAACAACAACCAGTTCTGAAGGTAGACGAAGTAGACAATCGTCTAGCTAGGGTCCCGAAAATTTAGTCAATTTTTGGGTCCGTAACTTTTCGTACACTATATTCATTACTTTAATTTTATAATATGTTCATTATCGGGTTCCCTAATTTCTATATAAAGTTAAAATGATAAGTTACTTAGAAGTAATATATTATAACTTTTTGATGCATTAGTTGTTTATAGATTACTATTGATAATAACAGTTATAGTTCATGTAAAATGTCAAAGTTGATTTTGATTAAGTTTTACATTCGATCAACCATGTGCCATGAAAGATATCATAAATTAACTACATTATCTATTGAAAGAATTTGACATAAAATTTTATATTCACTAGTTTGATTCATAATTTTGCAATTCATTAAGCAAGAATAATATTTTATCTGGGATATCAAAAATGTATTATATAGTTTGTTACCGAGTAATCATAAATATATTATTTGAAATATTAAATATATTTATGTTTGATATAATATATACGTATTTATTATATTTTTTATGCTTATTGTGTATTTTGTGTTAATTTAGATATCTCAAGAATACTGGCAATTGGCATATGCACTTATGTTATGTTAATGTTAGTCAAATACTTTAAAACAATCATCTACTTCTCTTTGTATACGCCAATTGATATCTTATTTTATATTTTAAAAAGATGAGTAATGTAAATTTATAGCTATGATTTTGAATAAAAAAAAATCTTTTTTTTTTTTTTTTTTCGCGGAATAAGATATACAAGGAGTTCTCCTATTCGAGATAATTTTAAAGCTCATTTAAAAAACCAAAATATTTAGGAATGGATCTTCGTCCAAGATAGGTTTTTAAATAAGATGAGGTCTTCTCCATATAGTATTTGACCATTCATCATTATGAATTTATGATAGTGTTGTTTTTGGTTCCTCTACTTATTTGTTTTGATTTTTAGCCTAAATGTTGCATAACTCTCCATTTGTTGTAAGAAATAGTTCTTGTGTAAAGAATAGCTTTTCTTGTGGACCACCCTGAATCACAAAATAATGTTTGGTGTAGTGGGTTTTACTCTTGCAGAATACCCATATTTTTAATATATTTCAGCTCCTTTCTCTTGGTTAATTTTTTTTCCAGCCCCTTTCTCCTAGTTTATTTTTTTTCAGCCCCTCTCTCCTAGTTTATTTTTTTCAGCCCCTCTCTCCTAGTTTATTTTTTTCAGCCCCTCTTCCTTTTTCTTGGCTCAATTAATTTTTTTTTTCATATTTCAGCTCCTTTCTCTTGGTTAATTTTTTTTCCAGCCCCTCTCTCCTAGTTTATTTTTTTCAGCCCCTCTCCTAGTTTATTTTTTTTTCAGCCCCTCTTCCTTTTTCTTGGCTCAATTAATTTTTTTTTCATTTTTTTTGCCTCAATAGATTTTGTTTCAGCCCCTCTTTCCCAATTTTTTTCTTCAACCCCTCTTACTTTTTTTTGCCCCAATTATTTTTTTTTTCAGCCCCTCTCCCCAAAAACGTAGAAAATTTTAGTTCATTTTTTTTTACCTCAATAAATTTTGTTTCAGCCTTCTCCCAAAAACGCTCCTCTTCCAAATCAGAAACCAAAATCTCTTTTTTTTTTTTCAAACCATAAGTAAAAGGGAAATGGATTTACGTTTGGACTAGAAATAAATTTTCAATCAGAGTTGTAATTAAAATATTTGTATATTTTTATTATTTAATATTCGAATATTTAATTACTATTTTTTTCTATGCGGCATGCCCTGAATTTTCATCCTGAATCCGCCACAACCTCAAGTTTGTACCAATTTAAAATTTAATCCCCTATGTTCACAAAAAAAAAAAAAAACATATTTGGTATCTAATGTTTTAAAAAATCAACACTTTTAGTCTTGTCCATCAATTTTTCATGAGTACTAACGGAATCATGATTCATGCATGCGCCTACGAGTGCCCTAATTGACGAACTAACGGTAAATTGTAAATGACCTAAAGTGTTATTTTACTGAAACATAAGGGACCAAATGTTTCTTTTTGGTTTATGATGCATCCGACTGGAAGTACATTTTTTTGTAGAATTTCGTATTATCTTTTCTCAAACGTTAATGGTACGACATCCTTATGTTATCTATACTTCAATTTCTTTTGAGTGAGGTTGTTTGTATTCCATCAAATTTATCATCATACTTCATCAAATATTGCTTCCCAATCGTACCTCTTGCATACTTTATGTATTTTTTGACCAATTCCAATTTGACAAGGGTCAGTTCGGCACTGGGTCCTACCACACATTCTCAGCATAGCGTGCTAGAGGCCCAACATGGTGAAAGAAGTAAAGTGGGTCAGAAAGTTCGTTCAACGGCCCACGAGAAATCGAGATGGACTACGAATGTTCGCCATGAAGGCTGCGATAAGACAAACGAGCCAAGAGCTCGCGATTAGACAAGCGGTCCCAAAGCCCGCTCTATGCTGCTAGTATATATGAATAGGAAAGGCAACGCCCATTATGGGTGAGCTGGCGTCATGACTGTTGGAGGATGCCAATTTGGAGATAAATTCCATAAATAAATAAGGAAAAAAAAATACAAATTAGAATCCATGATTGGACAAATTAGGGCCAATCTCGGATGAATAAAATGAACTCTAAATTAGGAAATGTCCATAGATGATGATACAATCTCCTGGTAAAAGAAGCAATGATATTTCTGTAGATGAAACTTTAAGTTCCGTTTTTGCATAGAAAAGAAAAACAACTCCTTTTACTCAAAAAAAAAAAAAAAAAAAAGAAAAACAACTCCTACAATAGTTCCCTATTAATACATTAACTTCTCTACAATAACTACCCATTATCTAATAATAACTACTAAACAAAAGATAAGTAAATAAATAATAATATTTAATTAAACTTCTCTCGTGCTGTCGTGCATATCATTCTAGCCATTTGTTAAATAGCGTGGGTTGGGTTTTGGCTTGCGAGAGCTATGCCGAATCGTATCATTCTCCTCCCCTTCGAAACGAACCTTGTCCCCAAGGTTGAGATGGGGAAATTGCTTGGCTAGAACTACGAATGGCTCCCAAGTAGCTTCTTCACTTGACAAGAATTTCCACTGTACCAACACCTGCCGCTCCCGACCACCCTTGCCCACCACCGTTCGAGTGTCTAAGATTTTATTCGGTTCGACTTGTGGAGAACCATCTGGGCTGTATGGCGGCAATGTGGGTACAGCTGGAGCTTGGTTTCCCATCTTACGCCGCTATAATGACACATGGAACACCGGATGTATTCGAGAATCGACCAATAACTCTAGTCGATACGCCACACGTCCCACCCGCTCGATCACTTTGAACGGACCATAGAAACGACTAGCAAGCTTTTGATAAATTTGTTTAAATACCGAGTGTTGCCGATAAGGCTGGAGTCGCAAATACACCCAGTCTCCCACTTCAAAGTTTTCCTCATGGCGATGTTGATCGGCGACCTGTTTCATTCTATTCCTTGCAGCTGCCAAGTTCTCTTTAAGCTCCTTCAACAACTCATTTCTCGAACGAAGTGCATAATCTACCTCCTGCACCACCACCATCCCTGGTATATATTGGATTAACGACGGCGGAGGTCTCCCATAAACGGCTTCAAAAGGCGACATCCCAATAGATTGGTGAAATTGTTAGAGTAGGTGACCAACAAGCCAATTTGTGGCTGTGGTCTTTCGTATTTATTATGGTAATAAACAAACCTTTTTTCGTATTAATGATAAAACACCTTGGCATTCTATATCTTTGTCCCTTTGTCACAAGCATAGATATAGTCCTTACAGTTATTACAAGTACTAGTAATTGATCGTTAGGATCGTGAGATACTTACTTAAGTATTATAACTGTTAAACGTGTTCCTAGTCGAAGGGTTACGCCACCAATGAGGATATCGGCCTTTCCCATTAAGAGACTAGCACTTAGTGTATGTGTACTGCATCTCATCAGTAAACGGTATTGTGATATCGGCATGCATAAGTGGGTGCTCGTAAGTTGACGAGTTCACAGAACTCCCTCACCCTAGAAATCTCTAAGTGGTTCCCAATAATCGAGTAGAGATATCTATGGTATAGTTGTACACCATTAGTCCTTATGACCTAGACATCACCGTGACTTCACTAGAGGACCTGCTGTATCGTAACCTGTCCCTGAGTTCCACCGAGGACCGCCCCAAGGGCCAGGGCCGGTCCCAGGGTCTCGGAGGCCCGAGGCGAGAAACGAAAACGAGGCCTCTCTTAATTACCAACTTTATTTTGAGTTATCAACTCATTCCTCAACCACAATTCCACAATTTCATCTTCGACATAGTTTTGGAAGATAATTTATTTAAATCTAAGAGCTCCGTTTGTAATTTTTTATAATATCCCAACTCAAACTTTTCTATTGCTCACTGTGTCGATAGATACTCAACCCCTGAAATTCCAAAATATAAAGTATAATACAAAAGAGCCAAATTATTGAACCCAAAATATAAACACAACAAGTAACAAAAAAAATTTAAGATTAGAAATGAAAGAATCAAGATAATGACAGATAAATCTAATTAATTCTTAGCTTGTCATTCAACAAAGAAGAAAAGAAAAAAAGGAGGGAAATTAAAAAATAAAATTAGAAAAAAAAGGGAAATTAAAACATAAATTAAAAAAGAAAAATAAAAGGAAAATTAAAAAAACATAAACAAAAAAGGGGCAAAAAAAAAAGAGGGAAATTAAAAATAAAATTAAAAAAGAAAAGAAAAAAAAACAAAACAAAGATAGAGAGGGAATGGCAAACAAAAAAGGGAAATTAAAGAATAAAATTAGAAAAATTAAAATTAAAAAAAGAAAAAAAAAAGAAACATAAAAAGAGATAGAGAGGCAGCTGTCAGATGGTCAGTCAAGGAATCAAACACACGACATAATGAATCCTATGAGTACCA